CCTGGGTCGTGCCAAACCTTCCGCAAACAACTCTCGAACTCCTGGCGGGAGCCTGGGCTCCGGGAACACGACGATCCTACTCTAAAGCGTGGAACATCTGGAGTAGTTGGTGCATGGAACAACACGTGGATCCCGTATGTGCCCCTGTAAACCAACTGTTGTGTTTCATTACACACCTATACGACCAAGGACTTGCATATCGGACCATCAATGTATACAGGTCAGCGATCTCGGCGGGACACAATGGTATAGAAGGATTTCCAGCAGGCAAGCATCTGCTGGTATGCAAGCTTTTACGCGGTATTCGATTGGCAAGACCACCGCGACCCCGATATAGTACGGTATGGGACGTGAATGTGGTCTTAAATTTTTTGGAACTATGGCCACAGAACTCGGACCTCACATTGAAACAACTTTCAGCGAAACTGGCCATGCTCTTATGCCTAATATCCTGCAAAAGAGTCTCGGATGTCCGGTCATTGGACGTCGACGCACGCACGTTCACTCCAACGGGAGTAACTTTCAACATATCCAGACGTACAAAATCAGCGACAACATCAGTGTCATATCCGGCATTCCCGCACAACCAAAAACTGTGCCCGATTGCCTGCCTCAAGGAATACGAAACACGGACACAGGCATTTCGAAACTCGGGACACCACGAACTATTTCTGGCCGTCAATTCGCCACACCAGCCAGTATCTTCCATAACGATAGCCCGATGGGTGAAGTGGATAATGGCTTCTGCAAACATTGATACTTCAGTATATGGGGCACACTCCACTAGAGGAGCCATGGCATCTAAAGTATTCAACTTGGGATGCAGACTGGAAGATTTGTTACGGACGGCAGATTGGTCTCTTGAATCCATATTTAAGGAATATTACTTTCACCCTACAGACCACGTAGCATCAAGAGTCATTGCACAGCTTTGAACTAGCATAATATGAGCCTCCGTGTCCTTTAATAAAATTACCAGATTTTACTAATTACATGACGTAAAGTCATGATTTTATAAAGGACACGGAGGCGAATATTGGCCCACCCGGTAAGTATATCAGGCATATATCAGCGAAAGTAGAGTGACATGCCCACCCAATAAACAATAAAACAAGGGTCATTGTGGTGTCTTATTTCGTCTCGATTTAATTTGTTTTTTATTTAAGAAAACTGTACTAGTGAATCTGTAATACATCAGGCATACGCTAAGATTTCGTCACTAATGTTGTGGCAAACAGTTCCTCAGACCACATTTTACCATATTTTTTCTCTATCCCCTTACAGTTTAATTCGCAATACGCGACACCCTGGATGACCAGTTGTCACCGCAGTTTACACAGACAAGTTCTTACAAGTTCGGGATATGGGAAAGTTCGACACAACGGATGAAGTGTTTCCAGTGTCTCCTCAAGTTATAATGATACAGCTTCGGCATGACCAAAGAAAGAGGAAGAGGAAAGGTCACATGAATAGTTATAGATAGAGGGACTGTTCCTATTGGTTAAGGGTATGATGTTGGGTTAACCCTTGGAGAACCTGTTAAACTTTTTTTCTATGAATGTTTATACCTTCTCTTTGCTGCTGAGGTATAATAAAGAAAGAGATAAGCATAATATTCGCCTCTGTGTCCTTTATAAAATCATGACTTTACGTCATGTAATTAGTAAAATCTGGTAATTCGCTGCCATTTAGGAATTAAATCAAGTTTGTTTATGTCCATGCAGTCCTGGCCACACCTCCCAGCTGTGACCTAAATGGAAGATAATTGAGCAGTGAAAATGCAGTGGGATGATCTGTACACCAAAACTGCTTAATTAAGCTTAAGTTGTTTTGGTGACAATAGTGTCCCTTTAATAGAAGCTGCAGCCGCTTCTTTTCTCCATGTATCTGTCAAATACATATATTTCCACCCCGATTACTTGTACTGTATGGAGAAATAATGAAACTGCCTTGAATTTGATTTATCAACATAAACTCTCTATCTGTTACTCTGCCTTTTATTCCAGGTCGAGGAAAGTTTCTATTAAAAGATGGAAGTTATTACGAAGGGGAGTTTGTGGATGGAGAGATGACTGGGAATGGATTGCAGTACTGGGCATCATCTGGTTAGTAGTAATATCTGAAAATATTATGTTGTAAGGACCAACAATGGTAAAATTCCTTATCAACAATCAAATCTTTAAATATTCTTTATAAGAAGAGAGTGTTTTACACATTTAGTGACACTAGAGGTATATATATTTTTTTAGAGTGCTAGGCAAACAGGACATTCCATACTGGCACCGTATGTAGGAACTAGATAGTGATGATGGCATAGCATGGGGCACAGTAAGCCTTTGCTATTTTTTCAGAATGACCATTTGCATGCATGTCCAAACTTTGCCTTTTGTTGATCATTTTTAAGACATTGTCATTTATTAAGACCCATTAAAACGTACATTGCTTCTTCATGGAAAAATGTCTTATTGGGGTATTCATGTCTTCTTGGAGGATGACCTTGTAGCATGACATTAGTCATCAGCTCCGGTGGGAAAAGCTCTAGTGGTCATCAGTTCCCCTACCCTCTTGAGACAAAGCAGTGGAAAAAGTCCAATCATAAATCTGTTGCCTTTGATATGCACCCAATGTTAGAACATACTCTCCACTAGAATGCACATATAGCTCATATGGGCTTATAAAGAGCTTTGTACCCTAGCAGGGTGAATGAAACACACCACTGTCCTTTAACAAACTAGCTCACAAACTGTCCTCATAAATTAAACTCTTTACACATTCTATTTATGTACAACCAGTGCTGCACAAAGAGCATTCCTACTCATAGAGAAGTTTTCAAAATGGTCTGCTTTCTGGGTGAATGCCTCTGTTAGTGATGGTACCTTCAGCCCTAGTAGAAAGTTTCCCCATATAAGCTCCTGGTTTCCAGGTATAACTATGATCAGGTGGCCAAAAGTCATTATCAAATTCACCTTCTTCTGGTTATATAGTCCTATTCTGGGCCCCATTCGCCTAGGAGCTCAACATATTTGATTTTGTTTCACACTTCCACAGCTCTGCTCATATTAACATGTGGTTTATACGTGTCCTTCAAGGCATCACAACAATAAAACACACAAATATGAAGTGTATGGGAACAATGCTCCATAAGAATAAAGTTTAAAAGACATCATTAGTGTGTGGATGTGTCACAGAGCGCCACAGCAATACAACCAAAATAATATGTAATATGTGTGTTATTGTGTCACAGGATTCTTCAGTGATTGAAGTCACAGTAAGATACAATGTGTGTGAATGTATCCCATAGCTCCACAATAATGATTTGAGGGGTGTAAGAATATCTAAGAGCTTTGCAGGAGTTAACATTACAGTCATGAGTGAATATGTCACATAGCTCCACAGCAATATAACAAAAATTGAAGGATAAGCCTAGACGCAAGACACACTACGTTCACACATGTAAATCTGTTAGTTACTTGAACCGCAGTAAATGTATCTAGAAATGCATTTGTAAATAATGCATCCTTACTTAAATAACTTATCCAAATTACTTAAATAAATAATTATGACAAAATATATATGTAATATAAATGCAATTAACCTTAATAAGGAAGCTATATATATTCTAAGATCTCTCCCCCAAAGACACACCAAAAGACGCCCCCTTTAACTGAACAAAAGTGTCCCTCTTTGGAGTTTTGGGATGTTGGGAGGTATGCAAATGTATCACTTTTGTTCGAACTTCGTACAAGATTTACTAAGTTCTGTTAAAGAGACAAGAGCTTTTAATGCCAATTTTCTACCAATGAATGATATATAATGATAATGACTAATTTGCATATGAAATAGAGAATTATCCATGAGTGACAGTATGTCAGTGAGCGAGGAGAAGCCCAGCAGGCATTGTGTTACTCGTGGTTAATGCTTGTCTAGAATCTCACTCATTTGATTAATATATGTCTGCCTTAGGCTAAATGACATGACGCCAGCGGGTACATAGTGATACAGAGAGTGTTTTGTAAGACCTGCCAAGTGTCTGTCTATGATCTCGCATTATTTTTAGTGCATGTGTATAACTTTGCACCGATCAATAATTTAAATCATGTAATTGATAAAAAAAAATAATTTCAATGCATCTTTTCAGTCAGCTGGTGATATTTAAAATCACTTGCTGTGCTATTTAAAATTGCTCACTGAGCCGTGCAGAATAATAATAATAATAATTAAAAAAAAATTATATATAAATACATTTAAAAAAAATAAACAGGAACTGAAACTGTGAAGACTTTATTTGGCTCCCCACAAATTGAAAGCCACCGCTTCTGTGCAGTATTTATTTAATCTTTTTTTTTAATTCTTTTTTTTTAGGCAATCTTTATTTTCGTCTTTTTCCATAGCTATTCACATTTCAAGCAAGCATAGTTAATGCATTTCGAGCCACTCGCAGGTGGAAAACACATGGAACTAACATTCTAGTAAAAGCATAGCTAACGTGACAATGCCTGTACAAACTAAATGTGTAGTATCGCAGGTGGAGCTGTCCTGGCTTTAGGCACTGAGTTATTTATTTAATCTTAACTGTTTTGGTGAGTGTTATAGAGATAAAAGTATGTGTTGGAATGGCAGTAGAGACATTATTTTTGTACAGAGTAATGTGGTAGAGAAAACTTCAACCCGCATAGTATTTATCATTAAAAACAGAGGAATATCAGAATAGCTGGTTATTTATGACTACTGTCACATATAATATTACAATCCCCTAAGTCTAATATATTTCGAGTGGCCATCTATTTCTTTATTTGTTTTGTGCTTTTTGTTGTTTTTACCAGACTTAAAAAACCCACTTTAAAACATTTAAATAAATCTGAATATATATTTTTTATGAAATTACTATTTATTATGTACTTATCATGTTTGGTGTGGAATAGTGATGTCCCGAACGGTTCGCCGAACGGTTCGCAGCGGACTCATCATTGAGTAAACTTTGACCCTGTACCTCACAGTCAGCAGACACATTCCAGCCAATCAGCAGCAGACCCTCCCTCCCAGACCCTCCCACCTCCATGACAGCATCCATTTTACATTCATTGTGAAGCTGCATTGTTAGTGAGCTGTCCAGGAGGTGGGAGGGTTTGGGAGGGAGGGTCTGCTGCTGATTGGCTGGAATGTGTCTGCTGACTGTGAGGTACAGGGTCAAAGTTTACTCAATGATGAGTCCGCGGCGAACCGTTCGGTGAACCGTTCGGGACATCACTAGTGTGGAATAATTTGGATTTACTGCCTTATCCTCCTGCAACTTTGCAATTTACATGTTTTTTTTATATATATTCACTTGTAGGATTAAATCCATAAACCAAAATTTATGAAGAAATAATAATTAAATTGCATGTTTTAGTCCAAAATAATCCAGCTGGAAAAATAACTGAAATATTAAAATGTCACTATGTTGGGCTTTAATTGTGACACATGTAAATTCTGTGAGTAACCCCAACATTACCTTTTAATAACATTGTAGATTTATATAGTCATCCATTCTCCTGAGAGTTGTTCTGTTTTATTTTATGCCAGAAAGTCAATTATAAAACGTGTGGCTTTATAACTCCAACTGGAAAATAATGTGTTGACAGGTACGTTGGATATGGTCTCCATAAAACATCTTTCAAATTCCATCTCCATTAATTGATCGTCCACACATATACCCATCTGTAGAATCCAAATTGTATAACCTTACGGTCTTCTTTAATGCCACTCACTTCAAATGCAGTGCTTTTATATATTTATTTTTATCATGGGATATCGATAGACGATCAGCATTTCAAAATCACTGATACATCAGTAAGTCTCTTTGCTTTGTGTACAGCATCCTGCCCCAAGGCTGATTACATTTCACTGTAACTACTGTCTACTTGCATTGATGCTATTAATCACGTATTGATTGCTTTACTTATTTATGTTTTTTCTTTATTACTTTTTCTTTGTATTTGTAAGTAAATTAAATTTTGTGAACCATGTGGACTTTGCGGAGCAGAACCACAATTTTCTCTCTCAAACTCAGAATTGTAGTCTAGAATGCTTATTGTAACCATTAAATCACGTGTGTAGCATTAAATACAGGAGTGACTGTTTTGTTTCATTTGCTTCAGTAATAACTTCCGTAACCACTAGATGGCAGTGTTGGGGTTGTGATTCACAAGATAGGAAAACTGTTTACAATCTTGTGAGGATTATAGTGTTTTGGTGTTAGAAAGACCTCCTCCAGGTTTGAATCAAGTTTAAATGTTTGACACAATAGTTTTATTGTGTAAAACCATTTTTTCAACAGCTTTTTGTTTTTGATTTAGAGCTTGTCTATGACATGGTACCAGTGTTATTGCAGTATGTGTATGCATCCAGAGTGTTAGAATGTGTGTGAATGCAGGGATGTGTGGCGTGTCAGTGTTTATGAAGTATAAGTGTATGTGAATGCAGGGATATATATGGACTACCATTCTGTGTTTGTGTAAATATAGTGGTATACGTATGGAGTGCCATTTTGTGTTTGGGTAAATGTAGTGGTATGTGTACGGAGTGCCATTTTGTGTTTGGGTAAATGTAGTGGTATATGTACGGAATGTCATTCTGTTTTGGGGTAAATGTAGTGGTATATGTATTGAGTGCCATTTTGTGTTTGGGTAAATGTAGTGGTATATGTACGGAGTGCCATTCTGTGTCTGTGTAAATGTAGTGGTATATGTACGGAGTGCCATTCTGTGTCTGTGTAAATGTAGTGGTATATGTATGGAGTGATATTCTGTGTTTGTGTAAATGTAGTGTAAATGTAGTGGTATATGTATGGAGTGCCATTCTGTGTTTGTCTGGTATATGTTTGGTGTGCCATTCTGTGTTTGTGTAAATGTAGTGGTATATGTATGGAGTGCCATTCTGTGTTTGTGTAGTATATGTAGGGAGTGCCAATCTGTGTTTGTGTAAATTTAGTGGTATATATATGGAGTGCCAATCTGTGTTTTTTGGGTTATGTATGGAGTGACATTCTGTGTTTGTGTAAATGTAGTGGTATATGTATGGAGTGCCATTCTGTGATTGTGTGGTATATGTATGGTGTGCCATTCTGTGTTTGTTTGGGTTATGTATGGATCGTCATCCTGTGTTTGTGTAAATGTAGAGGTATATGTATGGAGTGCCATTCTGTGTTTGTGTGGTATATGTATGGAGTGCCATTCTGTGTTTGTTTGGGTTATGTATGGAGTGCCATTCTGTGTTTGTGTAAATGTAGTGGTATATGTATGGAGTGCCATTCTGTGTTTGTGTGGTATGTGTATGGAGTGCCATTCTGTGTTTGTGTAAATGTAGTGGTATATGTATGGAGTGCCATTCTGTGTTTGTGTAAATGTAGTGATATCTGTGTTCCTTTTTTCTCCATTCCTTCTGCCTTTCCTTCACATATCATTACCTCTGGCCATATCACATACCTGCTCTATCCTTCATGTCACTAGCCCTCCCATTGTTATTATCCTACACCCTTGGCCATTGCACTAAATTATTCACTTTCCACACATTTTCTAGCCCTTTACCTCTGCATGCAAGTTTCCATTCTTTGTTCTTTCCCTATATAATTTTATTCCATTTCTTAAATAATGTTTACATTTTATAAGATTTATTGGAAGATTTGTCCACTTGCTCATGACAGGGAGCCTCCTTAACATTTAGTTCCTCAAGGCAGCAACATATGGCTATAATTCAGCAACAGGATGTGTCAAAGGGGGGCTTTTCTGATCAAGTACAAGCTTAAAGAGACACACTAGGCATTGTTTTGAATATTTTGACAATGATTGAGGTGCCCACACCCTGGCTCCTCTATATTGGTTGGGCTAATGCATCTTCATTAGCCTGACGAGCTGTGGGCATCAACGATAGGCTGAGAGCATAAGCTGAATCCTCCCAGCCTAGCATGATCACCCATCACTGGTATGGATTGGTATGGCTAAGGCAGAGTTACACCCCATCTTAGCCATACATCCAGCGAGTGGTGAAGCCACAGGTGCCGGGGTACCTCATCCTGCATTATACCGAATTAAAACTGTATAACACTGAACAGTGGGAAACTCCTAAACTACGTCATTGAGATAAAGTGGTTATGGTACATGGAGTATTTTAAAAACTGCTCTATGTTCCATACAACTGGTAGAGGCTCTGCTCCTGAAGCCTCCAGGACCCAGAAGGTTGCTGCTAGTTACTCTCCCATCCAATGGCCCATTCTTTGCAGCCATAAGTGCAGGTCAGCTCTCCAGTGCGTAGTTTTAACTTGCCCATGGTTAGGGAGAGAGTAGACATTTCAATTCCTTTAAATGGTAGACATCATGATAAATCTATTACTATTTCGTCTTTATTTTTATTGACTCTATTTAAATCATTGTTCTTAATGTATTTTAAGAAAATCTTTAATATAATTCATAATTCCTGATAATATTATTTACCTTTAGTTGAGTACATTGATTCCATCAATATCCTACTGCTGTTTTTAACTCTGTAAAGCTAATTATGTTACACTGATCCTCTTATATGGAGGCAGACCTGCTGTGCTGGTATAAGCACTTAATAAACTGACCATAATCACAGGACCTGGATCCTGAGCGAGAACACGATCCAAATAGCAAGCAAAGGTCAAGCCAGGCAGAGTTCTAGCTTATCCCAGGTCACAGAAATCAGATTTCAAGTAATGTGCGCTCATGATCACAAAGTCAAGACAAACAGCAAGTCACAGGCAAAGTTCAAGTAAAACATCAGAAGAAAGAAATAAAAGAGAGAGAGTGAGAGAGAGAGAAAAAAAGCAGACGTAAACCTTAAATGAATAAATTAAAACGTTAAACTTATTACCCAGAGGACAGGCTCTTAAGAAGTCATGCAAGACGTGAGTAAATGAAAACCACAAAAAGCACAGCCCCCCGACCCCCATAAATAGACAACAACAACAAATAAATAAGAACCATGATTGTACTCTATAACTACTGCAACAGAACCTTCTGCGTTACTTGGGGACTATCAACAGAAGGTCCTGGCAAATATGAATAGAAGAAATGTAGGAAGATATAGAAGAGAGAGGAGACATTTATAGAATAGTCAAAAAGGGTAATTGTTTGAGTACACAAAAAGTCAAGACTAAAGGGGCTGAGAGGAGATGTATGCTTGCAGAAGTAAGTGATAAAGAGCCCAACCAGGAAAGACGAAATAAAATAAAAAGGGATTTAATTTTTTTTTATTTCAGAACACGATTAAACATACCTTTTATTCAACAACGAGAGAGACTCCTCACTGCAGATCGATCCTCCTCTGATGAAGTCATCAATCCTGATGACTTTTGTCCAATCAGATATTTCGCATAGAGATGCATTGAGGACACATGATACAAGTGCAACAACCGCTGCGATCTGCCAATCCAATGCCTCTCGTAGAGAAGCATTTGATGTTCAAAGAGTACAGCATCACATTAACTTGTGCGCTGATGCTGGACATCAAACAGATTCAAGTAAAAAAATCAATAGAGTCTAAAACCCCCTAATGGCTATCTGAAGGACAGTCACTACTAGGTGTGGGCATTGAAAAAATATAAACCGTTCTGTTTCTCTAATGTGATTTTAATGCTTAAACTGTTCCTTTAATATACAAAATGTTTAATTGTTATAATTGTTTGATTACATTTTTTTCATAAAGAATCATATGTTATAATAAATATTGGTCTTGTGCATCTTTCTACTAAGTTTATTCACATGTCAAATGCATTCAGTTAATTTTAAAAAATAATGCATGCTTCTTTGAAAATTACTAACTCAAATAATTAACTAAAAATGGCCAATTAATTAACGCAGAGCTGCCATTTGAGAATAAGAATTACAATATTGTTTATGTTAGATTAAATTTTCAAATCAATAAATCACCCACTCCTCAATGAATGGTACATGAATATTGATGATGGCTGCATTGAGATTAGATAATCTGTTAGGCTTGTTTTCACTTGTCAGTTAATTTTATTGTTATTTCGTGACGGTGAAATGGATGTAGTTATAATCTGAAGCTGAAAAAGTTTTATACATACACACACAGTATGAAGGAAAAGGAACTATGTACCGCAGGCCTTATCTCAGTAATTGCCCCAGAAGTAATTGGTTCAATATTGATT